ATACGTATATTGCACAATCAATTTTTAATTTTTTGTGTTAAAGTTTGTCTTGAGCTTTTTGCAGCTCAGATTACTTGACAATTATTGTTCCGACGATTCTAATACGATGCCAAATTTTTCCCCTAATATTTGGAAAAAGACTTTTATTTCTTCCAGGACTCTAAGACTCCATCTATCTGATGCTACCAGAATTCTATCTGATGCTCACATCTCTCTCTTTCAACTCCCTTTACTTCTCTCCCTATTACATACCTCTCTCTCTCAGCTCTCTCTCCCTCTCACATACGGGATACGAAATTTTTCCCCCAATTTTTTAAACAAGACTTTATTTCTCCAGAACTCTAAGACTCCTACTATCTGATGCTCTCGCCTCCCTTACTCTTTGTCTCTCGACTCTGCCTACACCATAACACATTGGTGGTCCAGTACCTCCCTCTCCCTTACTCTCTGTCTCTCCCATAACACACAAAGGCCCTAACACCGATCACCACCTCAATTACGGTATTTTTCTCTATCTCAATCATGTTTTTTGTTTTGTGTGGTGTTTGCGTTTGTGTGTGTGTGCGTGCGTTAATTATTTTTTCTGTGTGAGTGTTTTGGGTTTCTCCCCCCTCCTCTCTCTTACTGTGCGTGTGTTCCCGGTGGTTTAAGTTTGGACTGGTGGGAACGACCGTCACTTTAAATTTCCACTAGTGGGTTATTCTATTTGGATTGTTTGGTTACACTGTTTTTGGTGGGGGTCCCCATACTTGGACTGGATTCTCCATTGAAGCTTTTTCTGGTTTGTGGGAGTTTGTTAAACTCCCTACTTTGTGTTTCTTTGCGTGTGTGTGTGAAATTAATTTTTTTTCTGTGCGAGTGTTCTGGGTTTCTCCCCCCCCCCCCCTTCTCTCTCTTACTATGCGTGTGTTTAAGTGTTTTTTTTTGTGTGAATGTTTTGGATTTCTCCCCTTGCTCTCTCTCTCTCTTATTGTGCCTGTGTTCCTGGTGGTTTAGACTGCTGGGAATGGCCATCACTTTAAATTTCTCTTGGTGGGTTAATGTGTTTGGGTTGTTTGGTTACACTATTTTTGGTGCGTGTCCTCATACTTGGACTGGATCACTTTAAATTTCTCTTGGTGGGTTAATGTGTTTGGGTTGTTTGGTTACACTATTTTGGTGGGTGTCCTCATTCTTGGACTGGATTCTCTACTAAAGCTTTTTCTGGTTTGTGGGAGTTTGTTAAACTCTCAGCTTCTTCCACGGTCATGCTTTGGTATCGTTATTTTCTCTTTCTCTCTCTCTCTCTCTACGGGACCAACACCACTCTAAGACTCCATTATCTCTCCTCAACTCTAAGGCTACTATCTCTCATCTAACTCTCTCTCCTATCTCATACCTCACCCATCAACTCTCTCTCACTGTGTTCCTCTTCTTCCGCCCTCTCTTTTCCCCCCTAGATTTAAAGTAAAAAAGAATTGGGAAAACCCTAACTAAGATTTGAAATATGGTGACCGAAATTCAATTAATGATTCTTTTGTCTTTGATGGATTTTCGATCCTAGATAATTTTTTCTTCCTATTGCTAGACTTGGCTATAAACCTGAAAACATTATGTACGCCACCTGTTTTATTGAGTGTCCTCAATTAAATTGATCCCATATTTTTTTTGTGTGTAGTGGCCAACAATGAGATTTTGTAGGGTTGTTGTGCATGGATTCTTTTTGCAGGAGCTGTTATTCGTGGGGGCTAGCCAAGCATTCTGTCTTCTTATCTCAATAGTTCATGAGACTCAGTAAGTAACTATTAGTTAATTACTTCATAATTTTTACTTTTTCATGTTCGTTTCGAGGGTGTTGTTCCAAATGTTGCCAAGGGAATTGGTGGGTTTAAATTTTTGCACCAACTGGCTATATAAATTGCAATGAATGACTGTTATGGTTTATTTTACTAAGATTTGGAGGTGAATTTTGAAGTAGGATATGTGACTTTGAGGTATGTACGATTTTGTGCATTATTTTTACTGGCAGTTTAGGAGTCACTCAATTATGACATCGTCAAATCCATATGTATTCTTTTTATTCCTTACATAAAAGTTGTATGCTTGAATTTTTCTTTAAATTTTTTTCCCTAATTTTTTTAGTTCAATGGCCAATTTTTTTTTTTGTTTAGTGGAATTGGGTGATTGAATGATAGTTGTTTGATTCAATATGGTTGAAACAAATTTGGTTAATTTTTCTAATTTTACACTTTTGGTCTTTAGTTCAATGTTGGTTTTGTGATTTTGTGATTTTTGATTGTTAGAGATTTTCTCTCTCTAAAGTGACCAGTGTTACCCAATGTTTTCCTAACAAACATCGTAGTGGATTTTAATAGAGAACAAATTTCTCTTAGAGTCCAAGACCATTACTATTTCCAATCAAAGGAGCATGTCGTACTCTCTAAATGAATAGATCATGTCAAAGTCCAAATGTTTAGGGATTTGATTTCAGAGTTTATAATTGCCTATAGGTATCCTCATTATTTTGGTTCTTTAATAAAGTCCAATGTAAGTGGGTTTAAAAAAAAATGGCGTGAGCAAATCAATTTTTTTTTTTTACATATCACGAGACATTTTAAGGATTTTGGATTTGTGGTAGATAAGGTAGGCGGTAACTTCTCCAATTGTGCAAAAGTTTTGGCTACCAGTGTAGGTCACCCCTAACTAGGACTTCAAGTTTTAAATTCAGAATAAAAATTTTCTTGCTAAGTTGAAATTCAATTACAAAAATAGGCTTGAAAGTGGTGCGGTAGGATTAGAATTGGGAGTGAATTAATTTGTTTAAAATATTAACGTGTAGCACAATTTTTTTTAATGTTCAAATGCAAGATACCAATATGGGTATGATTCATGCCGTGTTGTATTCATTTTTGTATTTGATTTTTTTGATTAGTTCAAAGAAAATTGTCGAAATGTTTTTTTTATAGTAGTGGGCCCAAATTTTTTATAGTGTCTTTAGGCAAGAGGCATTAGCTAACACCATTGTGGTGATACACAATTTTTAATTTTTTTTTTTTTGGGGGCAAATTCAATTGTACTTTCAACTATAATTACGAAAGTTATTAGTAATAGTGTTGTTGAATAGGTGTTTGAATGTCGAAATAATAGATCTTGGTGTAGTGAAAGGTATATTCTTAAATGTTTTCAATGATTTTTCATTTGGTATGCCTTTTAATTGACTAGCAATGCACGACATGCTTTACACGTGAAAATTTTTGTTAAAATATTACATAAAGAAAATCTAATTATGTAGTTACATTAGATATTATCTCATATTTATCATATTTAAATTATTTGTATTATTTTCATAACTATAAATATCCAATAGACTCATTTTTCGTGATTCTTTCATTCGGGCTACCAAATAGTAAGGGTTATGTATTTTTCTTTTCTTGATTTTTTTTTCTTTTGTCTTTCTTATTTTTACTTTGTGCATCATTAATTGTTTTACCAAATTATTTTAATTGTGAATAAAGAGATAAGATAAATATAGTTATTTTTAGGCATTAGAGATGATATTTTATCAATAGAATTGTCAACGTGCATTAATATTGGGGTTTTGATCAATGGACCTTTGGTCCAATGAATACTCCTTGTCTTATCAAGGCTTTATTTTTTTGAGGTCAAGAGTTCAAGTCCTCCTCTCCTTTCCCTTTCCCATCCCCTCCAAAAAAAAAAAACAAATTAAAAAAAAATCATTGGGGTTTTGAAAAAAAAAAGAATAATATTATTTTTCTATATTATTTTAAACATAACATGGTCATTTAAAAGTTTTGCAAAAACGGAGAGATTTGTATAATATATTAGATATTCATTTATTATTTAAATACAAAGGATATAATGATAATTTAAACATCTAAATAAAAAAGGACATGTTAGCTTTTATAGTTTTTTATAAGGGCAAAATAGTAAATTAAAAATTTTTCATGTTAAGTTACTTTTATTAGTAATATAAATAATTTTTTTTTCATTATTCTGTACCTTCGGAGGCACAGACATTTACTAATATATCTATATAATAAAATAGAAGTGTGTTTAAATTTTATCCCCATTATATTTCCCTCTCAAAACTATCACCAATCACTTATCTCACCCATCGTCCCTTTGTCAGACTCAAACGTCAAATCACATCACTCATTTCTATCACATATTGAATCATTTATATATTTCTTTCCTAAAAATATCACACCACTCATTTCTATTATATATTTAATCATTTAATAGCTAATATATTTTGAAAAAATTTAATATAGTGAGTTTAATTTTTTTGACGCTCGAATTTTATATTTTATCGTGTCTTCAGATACGGGTTATGACTAGTATATATATATATATATAACGGTTACAAGTCTTGGGGTTAACTTACGCGTATCTCAATTAATTTTCTCTATTGTTCGATCAAAAACAAGTCATTTATATCGAAACTAAAGTATTCATGGGAGATAAATCTCTAATAGTCTGACTCTAAAAGACTGTTAAGATTTAATTCAATACGCATGAATTTACAATTAATTCCTGTTACAACTTCAACTATCTTTGGGATTCCACAAGCAACATTTCGGGACAGGCGGAGAAAAGAGATACTCCCATGGGAGAACAACAAAGAGATACATCCATGGGTGAACAACAAAGAGATACATCCATTATCCATATAATTGGAGAACAACATGTATGACAGTGACTATGATTCTCCAGACTATAAAATTTCTTCGAGATATATTATAAATAATTTTAATTAATCATATATTTATTTTTTATTTTTTGTATCATGCTTACCGATTTTTGGCCTTTCATCTTCCATGAATTTTTAAAAACAAACATGATGTAATAAAACAAAAATGCATCATGTTATTTTTATCAGTTGGGGAAAAAAATAAAACTAATTAAAGTGTTCAGTGCCCACTTAAAAATAAATTTCTAACTCCACCCCTTGCCAAGAAGATATGCAGAAGGAAAACAATGGTTAGGACTTGCTCTGTTTCTCATTTACACTCCATCAACTTAATCACATTCAACAACTGGCCTATTAGTAATGGCTTTGTCAAATGGGAATCCATTCCGACATCATCTATAGTCTTGCTTGATTCTTCAGTCAGTGGATTAGCAGTTAGAGCAATGATGGGAATGTGGACACCATAGACTTTCTCCTCTGCCCGTATCAGTTTTGTTGCTTCAAATCCACTCATTACTGTCATCTGCTTAAGCCACCCAAAAAAAAAAGTTTCATGTTTGCATAATCTGCAAACTACCCATGAAATATTGGGTTTCTGTAGATTTTTACTCCAAATTAAGCATAATCAGTGAGAATCCATATTTGAAAATTCAACATGAAGATAGTAAGTATATCATGAAGATGAGAGTCTAAGAAATACCTCACAATCCATCAATATAATATCATACGGGAGAGTCATTGAATGTCCTTCCTTGCTTTGATCACGTAAAGCTTTGCAGACTTGATCGAACGCCTCTTGCCCATTCTCACAAACTTCAACTGTTGCTCCATTTTTACAAAGAGTAGCAACTGCTACCATGGATAGCACTGGGTTATCTTCAACAACCAAAACTTTCTTCCCACTCAAGGGCTTCTCACTGCTCTCTTCATGGCATTCATGTATTACTATTTTCTGTAGTTGGGGAGGTGAAGAAGTTCCCAGATGAACACCAGTTGTAGTAAACTCATTCGAAGCATTGGGGCCGATGGAATATTGCACCACTTGAGCTGCCTCACTTATCATCTTGTATTGGTGTGCACCACCAAATTCAGGGAGAAGTCCTAGCACATGATATAAACGAGAACCATGAAATGGTTTTGACAAAATGTGATCGCATGGAAGAGTTGGCCTATTTTCTTCTTGCTCTGAGTTAGTGTGACGCATAACTCGGTTGTCTAACCATACTACTTTACAAAGAGAATTCTGTATGTCTTTCCTAAAGTTGGAAACAAGTGGACAAAGTTCCGAGAAAGGTCCAGCTCCAGCATCAATAACAATTAGTATGAAATTTGATGAACTTCTAGAGTTGGATTTCTTGCAGTGAGGCACAGCATGATCACACCCATCCTTGGTGGCTGAAGCTCCATCGTTTGCACCAGAATTAGAGTCATTGGATGCAGATTTGTCTGAAGAACTGAACTGGCAAAGGTCCAACTTTTGCTTTATCTTCTCAAGAACATGAAATAATTCTTTGCCCTGCTTTACAGCAGACACTTTTATACCTAGGTTCTCAATCCACTTCTTTGAGATTCTTCGACGTTCTTCACCTGCAAGTAGGAGTATAACCTGGGATCCCTCTGATCTGGGAGCAGGGGAGCGAACAAGTCGCCCAAAATGTTGATGAATATCACTTGAAGGGCTATTATTTAGCATATAGTTTCCATGTTCCTCAATATCAGTACATTCAGGCTCACGTGTTGCAAGGAAAATATTGAATCTGAAACAAGTGCCTCTTTCACCATGTTCTTTATCAACAATTTTGATTTCTCCTCCCATTAGACGGACCTGGCAAATAAGTTAAACCTGATTCAGTTAAGCATATCTAAAGTTGAATACTTCTAAACATTGAAATAATCTGTCTGCTCTCCAACCACTTTGTCTTGCTCCTTCTCTTAGTGAAAACAAAAGACAAGCAGCGCCAGTCTTTTGTTTTCAGCAAAGAAGTGATACGTGAGGCAATGTTACATAATCATTAATTCAGTTACTCACCAGAGATTGAACAATACCAAGTCCCAAACCACATCCTCCTTGTCCGAGAGCTGTTTCTTTAACCTGAACAAAGTTTTCAAAAACAGATTTTTGCTTGTCTTTGGAAATTCCCTTGCCCGTGTCGTCTACCTCAAACACAAACTCCATAGAATTAGGATTTTGTTGGACTGTATGAAGGTCGTCCAATGCATTGAAACTGCCATTATTCTTGTAACACAACCTTGACAAACAATTCAACAGACCATTACGATTAGAAGCAATAATGGCCTTTTCTTTACTCGTCTTCTTGACTATGGCACGAACTGAGATGTGACCTTCTGACGTGAACTTCACAGAATTGCTGAGTAAGTTGCACAGTATCTGTTTAAGTTTCCCTCGATCACCTTTAACATGATGTATTTTCAAAATAGAGCCATCACAAGGGTCGAGCACAACATCTATGCCTTTCTTCATACCAATTGGATAGTACATGTCAACGACGTCCTCAAGAACTTGGGCCAAGTTGAATTCTTCTTCTTCGAGTTGCATCTTACCGGCTTCAATTTTAGTTGTATCAAGAACAGAATTTAGTATCCCTGCAACATTGTTTTGAATCAACCTTGATAAAAGTTATCACTAATATACGCCATGTCTAAAACCAAAAATACAATAAATAGCAGGCTGATAAACAATTTAAGTAGGTCTATTTAACAATCAAAATGGTATTCTAAATCTGTGATCTCTCAGTTCTATCCATTGAGCTGGTGTAGTGAATCAAGGAAATAAGTTGTTCGTTAACATTCACACATATAGATATTAACAAGGTGATCAAGAAATTTAAGCCTCTATTGAGTTCAATGTCTTGTTTTTTGAAGCAATTTCTAGAGCCTGCCAGTGAAAACACGATATCAAAGGAAAAAAACTGACCTAGAAGGTCCCTGGTACAAGTATTAATCTGTACCAAGTTGGCTGCCAACTCAGATTTCGGAGGGGCATCTTCGTGACAGAGCTCTATCAAACCAATAATGGCTGCCAAAGAAGCTCGCACATCATGACTTGCACTAGCAAAGGCAAGACTTTTGTTCATACTCTTGCGCTCTGCTTGTTGAGTTGAATCCTTTTGCTTTATGAGTGCCGAACATAAGAACATTTCCCTTCTTGCAGCTCTTAAGATTAAGATCAAGAAAATGCAAAGCGAGGCAACTATGATAACAAACATGACTACAAGAAACGCGAGCACTAGATTGCTGTTTCCTTGAACCATGCCTTCCAATCCATTTGTGGGGAAAGCCAACATATATACCTGAAAAATGTAAATTACAGCCACATATATAGATTAAACTCATAAATCATATAAATGGACACAGTTAAATGAGTGACAATGCATGTGTTAATTGGGGAAGATCACCAACAAAAGGACCATCAAGTAATAATCACGTATCCCCTTGTAAAATTAGGGTGCACTAATCCAGTTTGTGAGTGCATATGTTTCCAAAGCACACAAAATATTACTGTCATATATGAGAATTTTGTGGTCAGAAATAAGACATACAGATTGAACTCCAGCAAATTCAAGTGTTGAGCAGTAGCATATGTGCTTCATTCCCATAATATTCATATGAAAGTAACCCGGCTTGCCATCATTGGCCCTGCATGAATGGTTACCAGAAACATTTTCACGATCACCAGTTAGTTTGATAAGCTGCACAGAGACCGTGCCATTGTATACGACTATTTGAGTGCCTGGCAGATTAGTTTGCACAAGTACTTGTCCATTATCTGTAGCCAATGAAAAGTCCCCACTGTGAAAGTCTATACCAAGAAAGTGATTGATGATCATTTGTGCTGGAAAACCAATGGCGATCACTCCTCTTCCATATATAGCAACACTGTTGAGAATTAGGAGATCCTGAGCTTTATTCCAACCTGTCTCTAGCGAAGAATACGCAAGTGTACTGTTCAAGGCTTTTTCAAACCAACTTGTATTCGCTGTGATCATAGAGTTTAAACTAATTGCTTGTCCATATAGCTTCCCAGTGTCACGGTTCACAGGCTGAGTGTACCACGTTGAAGAAAATGAAGTGTTTGAAAATACTGCAAGAGTTTGATCTTCATCATTATAAAATGAGAACACCAGACCATCTAATCCTACATATGAAACTTGTGATACCAGTGGAATAGTTGAGAATGCTAGAAACAATGCAGGTGCAACCTAGAAGAAATCGAAAATCATGTTAGCATTTTTTACTAACTTTTCTTTTTGAACTAGTAGGAATTTCATTACATCATTGCACGAGGGGAGGGGGCCGGGGTACTAACCTTTGTTTGGATAGCGGGGAATGATAAATCGGTTCCATTTAGAGATGAACTCAGAGCTCTAGCTAGATTGGAAGCAGATAAATTAAATGGAGGTAACAACCTTGCAGTGGTTTCTACTTGTGAAAAAGTTTTGTTGCGAATCTCATTAGATTGCAACATTACATTGTGTTCAATTTGTTTTGTCAACAAACACAATTTCGAGATCATAAAACTTGATAGTCCCTGAAATGGAAATGTTAGAAAAGACTTTATAATAAGTACAACTACGTGCATAGTCTTATGTAAATTGTTTGAAGGAATGTGTAATCAAAATAATAAAAGAAAAACAAAGAGTAAGAGGAATTACTAGGAGGATGAGAAAACAAACAAGACGAAGGATTATGGTTGCGCAGAACTTTATTGGTGTCATTAGATAATCATAAATCGGTACCTCAAACCTGTGATTCCATAAGAAAATGAGTTTGATGAGTTTACAATGGAAGAATTTTATGCAAATCAAAATAAGATTTTATTGTCTTGCTATGAAGTGTAACAAAGGTCGACCAAACTATAACGGGTACTAAATTAGGGGTTTGGGCCCCAATCAAAAAAATAAGTTTCCAATTGAGATAGCAAATAAGTTTTCAGCTCAGATTATCGTGTTTTTTAATACATAATTCTATACCCACAATAATTTTTAATTTATTTGTTAATTTACAATAGTATATACCATGGATAATCATGGATTAAGCCCACACTATGAAAATAAATTAGGCAAAACGATATTAAAGGAATAAAGTAAAAAAAAAAAATTGCATTTTAGAAAACTGATTTTAAGAGATGTATTTAAATTGATTCTCTTTACTGGTATCTCTCACCTGCCATCTATAATTCCTCTCCTTTTAACACCCCAGTTGAGTCTCTCCCCTAAAGTCTCACATCTGTTAACTATAATTTCTGTCCTTTGTTCTCTCTCTTGCTCCTTAATGTTAGTTGAACTAAATGTTAACAAAGTGAGGTGGTACATACATATGTATTCATCTACCCTTAAAATCCAATTACATATAAAAAAATTATATGTCTCCAAAAGTAATGTCTTTAAAACAAAATGACCCAAAACTTCAATATTCACAATAATATAATTCATGCTATACTCAATTAAAATTGTCTCCGTTACTCCTTTTTTTTAACAGAGTAAGCACCTACATATTAAAAAGGCTAGCTAGTATGCTTTGGCCATGCATTGTAAGATTGAATGTAATGAAAATGTGAGCATATTCAAGGGTGAGAGAGACGGTCCTATGAGAATAAAAAGTGAGTCTCCAAGACAGACCCACATACCCCCCCCCCGTCTCTCTCTCTCTAGAATGATAGTGCATTTTGGCTAAACAAATGACAAAAAGATTGTGCCTAAACACTGATAACCTTCACAGTATCTAAACATCTTATTAAGTTTTCCAACTTAGTCATCAAAACACACACACAAGCAGTCAACACAAAAGAGAGAAACCAGAGGTAGGGAGAAAGAGAACAAAAGCTTCCTCAACCCCCAAACCACCCCGAAAACAATGTGTTAACCCCTCACAACAAACACACACCCAACATACAGAGAAAAAAAAACAAAAGAAGGAAGGCCGAGGGAGGGAGAAAGAGAGAGTAAAGCATACCTTGAAGAGAGACGGAAAAAGATGGAAGCTGAGAGATAGAGAGACAGGTGGAGTGTATGAGGAGGACTCTTAACTGAATTCCTCAATCAAAATTTATAAACAGATACACAAGAGTTATCAGATAAAAAATTTAAGATTTATCATAATTTCTTATAATTAAGTTAATTAAAAAGGCCAATGATAGAGTGCCACTTAATATTTTACCATACTGCAAAATAAAAAAAAAACTTAAAAAATTAAGAATGTGAGTTTAAAAGCTTCTCATTATTCGTAAATACAATTTTTTAGTATATAGTGATCTCTCCAAACTATCATTTTTTAAGTATATAGGGACCTCTCGAAACTATCATATAGAACTTCACGATTTATATTCATTATGAATATGACAAGTTTTATACATACCAAATATCACAGCGGAGAGACTAATTATGTATACAAGCTCTAATAGATTTCGTTAAATTTTTTAGAAGAGACTCATTGATCTAAGAGTATCTTCATCACCAAAATGCATTTTACTTACTCAAAAAATAATATTTTCTATTTTAACTACTCACTTTTTTAATACACGTTCCAACAGATTTTCTATATTTTTAACTATCCCTTTTAAACATTATTTCTCATTCTTTTGTATTATTTTTTTTAGAATAGTGAAAGGGAAAAAGAGAGAGAAAATAATATAAATTATTTTTACAAGTTGTTACTCTATATTTAGAGTATCACTGTTACAAAAATCTATTTTACAGTATGTGAACATAATTTGTTAGAGCATGATTTTTGAATTTAATTAATTAAATTTTAACTATTTTACTCATTTGAAACATCTGTTAGAAATGCTCTAACTAGTCACATTCATCTGATAAATTTTTTTTTTTTTGCAATCACATCGTCATTTCCAGTAATTGAATCCTCCCCCCATTATGGCATTGGCATATTTAAGAGTAAATAGCAGTGACACTCTCTAGTTTCTTGTAATTTCACTAAGTCCCTCCCTATTTTTAAAATAACATTAACATGACAAAGTACAACAAATTCTCCCACCACCTAGCAGATTAGTAAGTGCCATACCGGTTTTGCTGGGTAAACAAATTTCATAACAGGAACTGTCCAATGTACCCTCATGTGGAATAACCAATTTTTCACCATTGGAGTGAGGGTTGATATATGATGGCAAAATTAGAAATATGTAACTTCTCTCAACAGGTAGCATTGACAAGCGTGCAAGTGTAATTTTTAAAACAACAAGGGATCCAATGAAAGTATAAAAAAAATAAAAAAGAGTATCATCGTAATTTATTACTCTTGGTTTGATTATGAGACTTTGTTCACCCTAATTTCATCTTATTAAGTTAGACCCACCTAAAATTCGATTCAAACTCCACATTATGAATAACAAAAATCAATTCATTGAATTAAACTTGATGTTATTTAGAAGAGAAAAGTTGTGTCCACCATAATTTTTTTAAAATTTAAAATCCCAAATAATGTGTGATATCAACAGTTGCTAAATTTAGTAAATATTTGTGGGACCTATTGATCCAATAATTTATATTGATTTGGTGGAATTTTTTTTTTTTTTTTGGTTTTGGTCAAGGATCATTGTTGTATTTAGAAGAAGAAAATCAAAGTTGTAATGTTGGACCCACCTCTTGATCGGACCGTGCCCATGGCTTCCCATCACCACCATTTCAATGCCCAACTTTTCCGCCACCGGCAAATCACGTCCCTTGGATCTCCTTGCTCCACTCTCGTTTTTTTTTTTGGGAAAAATTTAAGTCACACACTTTTTAGTTTGTCATATTTTTAAGAACACTCTTTTTATTTTTTAAATCTCCAATGACACCCCTGTCAGATTAATATATTAATTAGAATGTAATTTTACTAAATTACCTACAATACATTTTAAGAAAAACTTTATACACACCTCCTCTAGATAGGCATATCTTCAATGCGATCCCTTATATTTTTTTAAATGTTTGTATCTATTAAAATTCGAGGTGATTAAAATTTAATTCGAGCTAATTAAAATTTATTTTTTATATATTAAAATTTAATTTAATTAAAAATTATATTTTTAATATATTAAAATTTGAGCCGATTAAAATTCTAATCGAGACTCAAATCAAATTTTAATCAACTCATATTAAATTTTAATAGATTTTGATTTTTGATACATAAAAATAAATAAATTTTAATTGATTCAAAACAAATTTTAAGTGGAGCTAACAACACAAGTAGAGTTCAAATTGGCTCAATTTTTAGTACGTAAAAGACTTTTAATAAGCTCAAATTTTAATACATAAAAAAATAAAATTTAATTAGTTTGAATCAAATTTTAATATACAGGAAAAAAATTTTAGTTAGCTCAAATTTTAATATGTATAAATCAAATTTTAATCAAAATTTATGTATAAAGCCTGTTTAGAGTTAGTATAAGGGTAATTTTGGTATTTTAGATAATTTATTTTTATTATAAATAATAGTTTAATAGCAGAGGGTGTCAGCGGTGTTTAAATATAAATTAGAAGGGAGTGTCACTAATGTTTTTAATAATACAGGGGGTGTTCTTAAAAATATGGTACACTATAAGGGGTGTGGTTGAAAATTTTTCCTTTTTTATTGTTTTTTGTTAGTGGAATACAAAGTTTCTCCTCAAGTTGACTCTACAATTTTATTAATCAAATTGACATTTAATTTCATTAATTCAAATATTAATTTCATCACACTAACACTAATTTTTGCAATTTAACACCAATTTAATATTTAATTTAATTAATTTTATAATCAATTTTATCTAATTAATATTTTCAAATTTAATTATATCAAATTAACATTCAATTTATTTCATTCATAATTTCATCAAATTAACATTAAAACTGAGTTTCAAATTCAGAAAATTAACATTTAATTTCATTAATTTAAATATTAATTTCATCACACTAACACTAAGTCCATAGAATTTAACACAAAATTAATATTTAATTTCATAAAATTCATATTTAATTTAATAAAATTAATATATTAAAAATTAATTTTTTAAATTAATATTTAATTTATTTTTATCTAACTAATAACAAATTGAGCTTCAATTTCATCAAATTGAACTTCAGTTTCTTTACACTAACACTAATTTCATCAATTCAACCCTAAATTAATATTTAATTTCAAATTCATATTCCATTTCTTCAAATTAACAAATTTAATTTTATTAATTCAAATATTAATAAAATGTAATTAAAATTGACATTTAATTTCATTAAATCAAATATTAATTTCATCAAACTAACACTAATTTTATCAATTTAACACCAATTTGATATTTAATTTAATCAAATTTATAATCAATTTCATCCAATTAATAATTTTAAATTTAATTTTATAATATTAACATTCAATTTATTTCATTTAGAATTTTCTCAAATTAACATCAAAATTGTGTTTCAATTTCATCAAATTCACATTTAATTTCATAAAATAGATATTCAATTTAATAAAATTAATATATTAAAATTTAAT